TGAAGTCACCCCAGTGAGGTACCTTCTTGTGTCTTAGGTACTGGCCCAGACTCGCCTGGGAAATGGACGGTGGATGACTCCTGAGAACATTCAGGAGATGTACTCTGCGATCAAGGCAGATCCCAACGGTGATGGTGAGCTTCTGTCCCTCCACAGTGTTGTCCCTTGAACTACTTCCTACTCCTAGCTGTACCATCTTAAAAGCTGGGGCCCTTTCCCCACCCCTGGCAGCCTCTATCTCAGCTTCTATAGTGACTTCAGATGGGAGGAACCAGCTTTTCCTTTCATCCCTGGGAAGCTGGTAGGCAGCCAAACCTCTTTGTCCTTGATGACAGTCTTTTGACCCCCTTGAAGGAGTTCAGAGTCTAGGACACAGGGAGTTGGGCTACTAGTAGGTAGAGGGCAGAGGGTGTAGAGCCAGAGCGAGGAAACACTGAGCCCAGACAGTTTGGGTTTGACTGTTCGTGCTCCCTGCACCTTTCCAGGTGGGCACTGGGTCCACCTCACCACAGCCTCCCTTCTCTAAGCAAGGCCTCCTTGACCTTTCTTCGGCCCACCTGGAGTCTTGCTGAAGTATCAAAGTGCTAGTGTTACTAACTATTGGGGGACAATGTGGGCCCAGGGGAGATGTCATGGAAGGATTTCCTCTTTGGTAATAACCCTTAAAAGCTTTCTGGAGCTGGGCTTGGTGGTGCACACCTGTGATCCCAGCAATTGGGAGGCTGAGACAGGAGGACAGATGCAAGTTCTAGGCCAGCCTAGAATACATAAGCAAGATGGATTTAGCTCAGTGGTGCCGTCACCTGCCTCACAAGCAGAAGGTCCCAAGTTCGATCCCTGGTACCAAAAAAACCAAAACAAAGAAAAATATATAAGCAAGACTTGCTCCCCCAACTGAAAGATAAAAGGGGTTTCTGAAGTGTAGCCCTCACCTTTGTGTCCAAATTCTGGACCAGCTGAGGAAGAGACAGACGTCAAATAGGACTGGGGAGCATGTGAACCCTGAGTGAAGCATTAGGAGGCTAGGTTGAGGCCTGAGAGCTGTCATACTGCCCTCAGCACAGAGCTGGGATCAGATTCACAGCCCTTGTATGGCCCTCACCTTCACAGGTCCAAAGTGGGGAGAGTTCTCTGTCAGATTAGCCAGAGCAAAATAACATGGAGCAAAGACCACTGCTCTTCTGCAGTCCCAGGAGGGTGGAGCCTTTCTTTGTGGTTTGGGGGCAGTGGGTATTCCTCACTGGGCCAGGTGCCTGGCTTTCTACTAAGGTGAATTGGTCACCCAGTAGGGAGCACTGGCCAGGTGGGTTCCACCCAGGATGGGCCCTGAGGTCATGAGGGAGACTCTGGGACAGGCCCTGGTTGTACCCTGTGGTGTGGAAGGCCCTGGCAGAGACCCAGCATCACCGATGCGCTCTCCTAACCCTCTACATGTTGGCATGTGTATATCACACTCCAGAGCCTGTGGAGTTCCAAGGTCACCTGTGGCCCCCTTGGCCATGTGCTCATGCTTCCTTTGGAGGCTCTGCTGTGGCACTGTAATAGGGGTTGGGCTTCTTCCTTTTGGAAGCCAAATCAAGGCTTAAACTGAGAAAATGAACTTCTCTGGGTCTTCCCTTAGGGCCCGATGTGACAGAAACCAGGTTCATCTGACCCAAGAGTCCAGGTGGGGACAAGTGCACATGGTCCCCAGGGCCAGGGCTGCTGCCGCCTTTGGGGTAGGTAGGGAGGTGCTGCCTGTCACTGGTCTCCCCACATTGGCCTGGCAGTCACTAATGGTAGTACCCTGTGCAGGAGTGCTGAGTCTGCAGGAATTCTCCAACATGGACCTTCGGGACTTCCACACGTACATGAGGAGCCACAAGGGGGAGTCCAGCGAGCTGGTGCGGAACAGCCACCACACATGGCTCTACCAGGGGGAGGGTGCCCACCATGTCATGCGTGCCATCCGCCAGAGGTGAGCAGTTGGGGCCGCCTCCCCAGGGCAGGGCCTCCAGTGGGGCCAGAAGAACAGAATTCACTAGTGATTCAGAATTAAGTTCCAGTTTTAGACTAAGATGGGGCCCACTGAAAGACAGGCAATTAACACAAGCAAGTTGTGGGCAAACAATATACAGTTGGGATTACATCAAGCTGCCGGGCATGGTGGCACATGCCTGTAATCCCAGCACTTGGGAGGCTGAGGCAGGAGGATCACTGTAAGTTCGAGACCAGCCTAGGCTACATAATGAGTTCCAGTTCAGTCTTAACTACATAGTGAGACCCTGTCTCAAAATACCAAAAAAAAAAAAAAAAAAAAGAAAGAAATACATCAAGCTTTTGTTTTCTGCTAATTAGAGAAATGTCCCCTTATCTCTGCCCATAAGGACCCCTATCCCTGGCCAGCAAGGCTTTTAGATAAGCAACCTGATTACTGAGGGTCTCAATTCTTGCCGTCCTCCCAACTCAGTAGAAACCTCCTTGCCACACAGTGGGTGTCTCTCCCTGGCATCCAGGGAAAAAGGCTCAGAGCTGGGATCCAGGGATCATGTGTGGCCCCTGCCTGTTCTTACAGGACCAGTCTAAGATGACTTAAGGGGCTTCTAAGGGGGTGGTCAGGGAGGGGGCTTGTGGCAGGTCCAGGGCCCACTGTGCCAGCTCCTTTATGAATTGCCTTGGATGGGGCTGCCCACCTAAATGCCTGCTGCCCACCAGAGTGCTGCATCTCACTCGCCTGTCACCTGAGATCGTGGAACTCAGTGAGCCGCTGCAGGTTGTGCGATATGGTGAGGGAGGCCATTACCATGCCCATTTGGACAGCGGGCCTGTGTACCCAGAGACCATCTGCTCCCATACCAAGCTGGTAGCCAACGAGTCTGTACCCTTCGAGACCTCCTGTCGGCAAGTACCTCCCACCTAGGAGCTGGCTTTGATTCCCCAAACAGGTACCCCCATGACAGGCACAGCCTGGCCCTATGGGTGTGCCCCTTGACAATGGAAGGGGCCCAGAGCACCCTGGACCACTCTGGTCATAAATTCCCTTATCTCTCCCCTAAGTTGTTTACTGAATGACAGGAATGGACTAGCTGCTGGCCATTGTGCCTGTGTGAGTTAACACAGACCCAGATAGCCCCAGACACCAAAACTTGCCCCCAAAGCTCTAAAGGAAGGGACAAGGCTGGACTCCTAGCTCCTGCCCCTTCCCTTAGATACTGATCTTGACACTACTGTTGAGGTCTCAGCTTTACATGCTAAAGTTGTGCCCACCTCCCCTGCCAAGGTACAGGGATAGATCTCTTCATGTGGCTCTTCAGTCCTCAAGACCTTTGCATGATCTTCCTTCTTCTACTAGCTTGCCTTTCCCAGCCAGGCTCTTGGTAAGGGCCATGTAATTTATCTAATAAGTGTGATCTTGGCCAAAGACATGGGCACAAGCGGTCAAAGACTGGATTTGTGGGTACTGGCCTACCCTGTTGTCATCCATCACTACCTAGCCCTCTGGCCCCCGGGAACCTGAACAGCTTATTCTGCCCACCTGTAAGCCCTAGGAATATGCTTAATTGGGACCCTGCTCAGCAGCCCCCCTGTCTTACAGCTACATGACAGTGCTGTTTTATTTGAACAATGTCACCGGTGGGGGCGAGACTGTCTTCCCTGTAGCAGATAACAGAACCTACGATGAAATGGTAAGGGCTAACTGGGTTGGGGTTAGGGGTTGGCAAGGATCTTGGGCAAATGTAGTATACACCCATCCACGCCTGGGATGAAGACCCAAGTGGTTCACTGGTACATTTGGTTGTCTGGCCTGAAAACTGGGAGTTTGGCCTGAAAACTCCATCACCTTGGCTGTCCACAGAGTCTAATTCAGGATGACGTTGACCTCCGTGACACACGGAGGCACTGTGATAAAGGGAACCTACGTGTCAAGCCTCAGCAAGGCACAGCAGTCTTCTGGTACAACTACCTGCCTGACGGGCAAGGTGAGGGTCTATCGCCAGGCCCAGGGGGTTCCCTGAGGGCAGCTTCCTTTTATCCAGCCCCTATATGCCACCTTGAAGGGCTGTTTCTGGCTGCCATCCAAATGCTTGTCTAGCCTGGGCCCATCCTATAGTGACTGTTGTAGGCCACCTCAGCACCAGTGCCACTCTTCGGTTATCTCAACCTCTGTCATTCCCTGATACCTCAACCTTACTGCTCTCGAGCTGGGACATGGACTGGTGAGACCAACCCAGGCTGCAGAGCTATGGACAGGCACAGCAGTAAAAGTAGTTTCAGAGGGCCACAGGTGTTGACTGTACATTAGCTGGGTGGAATCCTGAGCCCCGAAGGAAGCCTTGGTGTGGATATTAGCTGTCCCGAGGCTTGGGCCCACCCTTTCGGTTGTCCTACCCCTGTCTGGGGTTAAGCTCAGGCCATCCCAGCCAGAGGCCCCTCACATCCTGTCCTGTGCTCATGCCACACTCCTTTCTAGGTTGGGTGGGCGACGTGGACGATTACTCTCTGCACGGGGGGTGCCTGGTCACACGCGGCACCAAATGGATTGCCAACAACTGGATCAACGTGGACCCCAGCCGGGCACGACAAGCCCTGTTCCAGCAGGAGATGGCACGCCTGTCCCGCGAAAGCAATGCCGACTTGCAGCCCGAGTGGGCCCTGGACCGAGCCTACCGCGACGCACGCGTGGAGCTCTGAAGGGAGGGTCAGCCCCAGACCCCCACTGGACCGCGCACCTCCAGGTCCTGGGACTGGCTCTTGTCCTCTCCAACTGCACAGTCCTGGTGCAGTTCCTATGTTTGTGTTATTTATTATGTATGGACCCCATGCTGCTCAGTCAAATAAACTCCTGTGGCTTCTAGTTGCCGGGCAGACTAGCTCCGGGTTGGCGGAGGATGGGAGACGGGGCGGGAGGCCTGAACCGGTGTGGCTCCATCCTCACGGGCTCCGCCAATCAGAAGCCGGGCTGCTGGAGGCCAAGGTCTTCATTGGGCGCCTGCAGCTAAGGGCGGGCCCCGCAGATCTCTAGTTCTCGCGAGAGTGCAGGTGTCTTCGCATCGGTGGCAACGGGGTCGGAGGCTCAACATGGAAGCTCTCGGAGACTACGTGTGGCCGCGGGCGACCTCCGAGCTCATACTCCTCCCTGTTACGGGGCTGGAGTGTGTGGGGGACCGGTTATTAGCGGGTGAGATTCGGCTCGAGTCGCGCTGGCAGGCGAAGAAATTGAGCCCCCCAGTGGGTTGGGGGTTCAGGGACAAAAGGATGCTAGGGTAGGGGCGGGCGGCGGGCTGAGCCCGGGCCGGGAATGAGGGCCATTCCGAGGAGGGCGGACAAAAGTGGTGTGATCATTGCAGCCTTTATTACTGCAGCCCACTCGCGGAAAGATGTGGCTTGGGGAAGAGAATGCTGCATTCGGAGGTTCTGCGCCGAGTGTGGGGGCGTGGTCCGAGGGGGCGGGGCGGGGCATCACCTCAAAGCTGGGGAGTGCAAGACCTTTAAAGAGGGTCGGGGGAAATTGCCTATGAAACCTTTTTTGAGTAAGGCAGTTCTCGGAGAGGCGGGCTTTGGGGTCCCTCCGAGGACTGGCTCAGAAAGCACAGGCCTGTGGCTTGGCTTCAGAGGCTTAGGATCTGCGGTGTCAGGATCCTGGGAAGCCATAAGGCTTGATAGGAAGCCACTAGTGACCGATGATACTGAGTGTTTTATAAGGGTCCCAAGACCAGGTGCCGCCTGTCAGGCTTGAGTGAGCAGCCACTAGCCCCAAGAGGGTCGTGTGCGTGTGAGTGATGAGGATAGACTGCTTTGATCTGCTATGATGGATCAGGAAGTACAAAATTCCTACAGTGAGCTAAAATCCTAAAGATTGTTGAGGAGGAAACAGCTAAGGCAGAACTAGGGATAAGTTCCTAGCGGAAGGTGGGCTTGTCAAAGCTCTTGAGGTTGGGAGAATTTGTCATTTGGGGGCAAAGAATTCTGTAGAGTGGAGCGTGTGTGGGGCCTGAGGGAAAAAGCTGGAAAAGGAAGCGGAGGCTAGATAGAGTGTTTTAGACCTTCATCTGACCTTATCACTAAGGGCGGTGAAGAGGTCTCACTAAGGTTTTTTTTTGTTTTTTTTTTTTCTTTAAGATTTTAATTTTCTGTTCTTTTTTTGTGGAGCTGGGGTGGAACTCAGAGCCATGTGAAGGAGCATTATAGGTAAGCACTCTACCCGAGGCTGCATCCCCAGGCCAATTCTTTTCAAGGAGGAAATTATTTATTTAGTCTTTTTTAAAGTCAGATTTAGACCTGGGGGTGTTCTTCAGTGATAGAGAGCTTCCCTGGCACACATAAGGTCCTGGGTTCCCTCCCTAGCTTTGAGAAGGGGGCCGGATAGCTACAGGCATGGCCACTCACTGGGTCTGAAAGACTTCACATTTCTCCACATCTTGGCTGCTTTCCGAATTCTTGGCTGTTGGCTCCATTTTCAGCAGACTTTACTCTTATGACTCCATTTAAGGCTTTAAGCCGGGAATAACTTGGAAAATGTAAGTTAGAAAGCACAATTAATGTTTTCTTATGACTTACAAAGTGATGTTTTATAGTATAATTCTTTACTTTTGTTTGTAGTGGTGCTGGGTATTGAATCCAGAGTCTCATGCATGCTGTAACTGTCATAAAGCTAGAGACTAAACCTATAGTTGCAGTTCTCTTTTGTTGACGTTGGGTTTTTTTGAGACAGTATCTCACTATGTTCTTCAGGCTGGCCTTGAACTCACTATGTACCACAGGCAGGCCTCAAACTCACAGCGATCCTCCTGCTTCGAGAGTACTGAAATAACAGGCATGGGCCACCACACCTGGCAAATAGAGTTTTTTTTTTTTTTTTCCATTAAGTTTATTGGTACATTTAAAGCAAACAATATACAATCCTTAAATTCTATCCATGTGCTACCATGGTGGCACAGAGCTGTAATCCCGGCTTTCTAGAAGGCTGAAGCAGGAGGATTGAAAGTTAAAAGCTAGCCTGTGCAACTTGGCGACTTAGCAAGACCTTATCTCAAAATAAAAGATTAAGAAAAGGAAGGTATTGATGATATAACTCAGTGAGATGGCTTCGGTTTGATTCTTCAGTACAGGAAAAAAAGTCATTGATGAGAGGACTAGAGAGTTGCACTGCAAAACTGAGTCCAGCTGGGCACGGTGTGGTGGTACACACCTGTGATCCCAGCACTCAGGAGGCTGAGGCAGGAGGATCTCTTTGAGTTCAAGCCCAGCCTGGGCTGCATAGCAAGTTCAAGGCTAGCCTGAACTAAAAGAAAAAGAAAAGGTAAGTCCACCTAAAGCTGAGACCAATGGTTTTCTCATGTTCAAGCTGTAGGATTTTGCTGATACATTCATAGGCTACGTGCTGAGAAGTCTCACTACCCCATCTCTTCTCTATGGATCATCATAGTTAGGTGAGCAGTTCTGATGTGGCTTTTTGGCTCTGTCTAGGTGAGGGGCCTGATGTCCTGGTATACAGCTTGGATTTTGGTGGGCATCTGCGGATGATGAAGAGAGTGCAGAACCTGCTTGGCCACTATCTTATCCATGGGTTCCGGGTTCGGCCAGAGCCCAGTGGAGACCTGGATTCAGAGGCCATGATAGCTGTATTTGGAAGCAAGGGACTCAGAATTGTGAAGATTAGCTGGGGTCAGAGCCGCTTCCGGGAGCTCTGGCGCTCTGGCCTATGGAACATGTCCGACTGGATCTGGGATTTGCGCTGGCTTGAAGGTAATGTGGCCTTGGCCCTGGGTCACAATTCAGTGCTGCTGTATGACCCTGTGGTAGGATGCATGCTGCAGGATGTACCCTGCATGGACAGATGCACCCTCTCCTCAGCCTGCCTGATTGGAGAGACCTGGAAGGAACTAACTATAGTGGCAGGCGCTGTTTCCAACCAGCTTCTAGTCTGGTACCCAGCAGCTGCTCTCGAAGACAACAAGCCTGTGGCACCTGACCGACGGATCAGTGGGCATGTAGGTGTCATCTTCAGCATGTCCTACCTGGAAAGCAAGGGCTTGCTGGCAACAGCTTCAGAAGACCGAAGTGTTCGTATCTGGAAAGTTGGTGACCTGCGGGTTCCTGGGGGTCGGGTACAGAATATTGGACACTGCTTTGGACATAGTGCCCGTGTATGGCAGGTCAAGCTGCTAGAGAATTACCTTATCAGTGCAGGTGAAGACTGTGTGTGCTTGGTATGGAGTCATGAAGGTGAGATCCTCCAAGCCTTTCGGGGCCACCAGGGCCGTGGTATCCGGGCCTTGGCTGCTCATGAGAAACAGGCCTGGGTTATTACTGGGGGTGATGACTCAGGCATTCGTCTGTGGCACCTGGCAGGGCGTGGGTACCCGGGATTAGGGGTCTCGGCTCTCTGCTTCAAGTCCCCTAGCAGGCCAGGTACCCTCAAGGCCGTGACACTGGCTGGCTCTTGGCGACTATTGGCAGTGACTGATACAGGCGCCCTGTACTTCTATGATCTTGAGGTCAAATGTTGGGAGCGGCTGCTAGAGGATAAGCACTTCCAGTCTTACTGCCTGCTGGAGGCAGCTCCTGGTCCCGAAGGGTTTGGACTGTGTGCTATGGCTAATGGGGTAGGTTGTGTCAAGGTTGTCCCCATCAACACTCCAACTGCTGCTGTGGACTGTGCCCTGTTCCCTGGGAAGGTCTATAGCCTGAGCTGGGCCCTGCGTGGCTATGAGGAGCTCCTGTTGCTGGCCTCCGGCCCTGGTGGAGTGGTGGCTTGCCTAGAGATCTCAGCTGCACCCTCTGGCAAGGCTATCTTTGTCACAGAACGTTGCCGGTACCTGCTGCCCCCAAGCAAGCAGAGATGGCACACATGCAGTGCCTTTGTGCCCCCAGGTGACTTCTTGGTGTGTGGGGACCGTCGAGGTTCTGTGCTGCTATTCCCCTCCAGACCAGGAGTGGTCAAGGACCCTGGGTTTGGAGGCAATGCTGAGGCTGGAGCTGGGGCACTCGGAGCGGGTGGTGGCACTGGTGGGGGTGAGAATGCTGTGGCTGAGTGGAGCCCTGTGTCTACCCTCCATTCTCTGCATGGGAAGCAGGGTGTGACCTCAGTCACCTGTCATGCTGGGTATGTGTATACCACAGGGCGGGATGGTACCTACTACCAGCTCTTTGTTCGAGGCAGCCAACTCCAGCCCGTCCTACGGCAGAAGACCTGTCGGGGCATGAACTGGGTAGCTGGGCTTCGAGTGGTGCCTGACGGGAGCATGGTCATCCTGGGTTTCCATGCCAACGAGTTCGTGGTATGGAGCCCCCGCTCACATGAGAAGCTGCATGTGGTTAGCTGTGGAGGAGGCCATCGCTCCTGGGCCTTCTCTGATACCGAAGCAGCCATGGCTTTTTCCTACCTCAAGGATGGGGATGTCATGCTGTACCAGGCTCTGGGTGGCTGCACCCGGCCACATGTGATCCTCCGGGAGGGTTTGCATGGCCGGGAGATCACCTGTGTAAAACGTGTGGGTGCCATCACCCTGGGGCCTGAATTTGAAGTGCCCAGCTTGGAGGAGCCTGACTACTTGGAGCCTGGTAACGAGGGGCCTGGCCTGACTGACATCGTGATCACCTGCAGTGAGGATACTACTGTCTGTGTCCTGGCGCTCCCTACGACCACAGGCTCAGCCCATGCCCTCACAGCTGTCTGCAATCATATCTCCTCCGTGCGAGCTGTGGCTGTGTGGGGCCTCAGCACCCCAGGTGGCCCTCATGATCCTCAGCCAAATCTGACTGCCAATGTAGTGTCTGCAGGTGGTCGAGCAGAGATGCACTGCTTTAGCATCATGGTCTGTCCCGACCCTAGCACTTCAAGTGGCCTTGCCTGCCACGTCATGCACCTTTCCTCCCACCGGCTAGATGAGTACTGGGACCAGCAACACAATCGGCATCGCAAGATCAAGGTGGACCCTGAGACCAGGTAATTTGGACTCCCAGGCAGGGGTGCGAGGTGGGATTATGCAGGGGAGGTATCCCTGCATTTGCAGGCTGCCCCTGACAGCTCTCGTTTTAGGTACATGTCCCTTGCTGTCTGTGAACTTGAGCGCCCTGGCCTTGGCCCCCTTGTGGCTGCAGCCTGTAGTGACGGGGCCGTGAGGTGAGTGCACCGGCCCAGTGGGTGGAGACAGAATGAGTGGTCGGGGAGGAGTTGAGGTGGGCCACCCTCTGGCCCCCAGGCTTTTTCTCTTGCAGGACTCAGGGCGAATTCTGCAGCTTCTTGCTGAAACTTTCCACCACAAGCGCTGTGTCCTCAAGGTCCACTCCTTTACACACGAGACCCCCAACCAGCGGCGGTGAGGAGCTGCATGGTGGTCCTGCTTGGGTGGGTGGGGAGTTCCTGTTATTCTCCATCCCTTTTATTCACTTGGCTCCCCTGCCTTGGCTCCCAGGCGGCTGTTCCTATGCAGTGCAGCTACTGATGGCAACCTGGCCTTCTGGGACCTTACCACTGTGCTGGACAGTGGTTGTACTGTCCTTGAGCCTCCAGCAGACCCTGGCCTTCCCTCCCGTGAGTAACTAGTGTGAAGCCGGGGCTACCCCTCCCCACCGCACTTGCTCTCACACACAAGGGTCCTAAAAGCCATCTTCTTCTTCTAGGGTTAGGCACTCCCTGCATGACTCTCCAGGCCCACAGCTGTGGTGTCAACAGCCTGCACACCTTGCCCACACATGAGGGCCACCATCTTGTGGCAAGTGGCAGTGAGGATGGCTCCCTCCACGTCTTTGTGCTTGCTGTGGAGACACCAGAGCTGGGAGAAGCTGTGGGTGAGGCTGAGTTGGTGCCCCAGTTGCGTGTGCTGGAAGAATATTCTGTCCCCTGTGCACATGCTGCCCATGTGACAGGCCTCAAGATCCTGAGCCCCAGCCTCATGGTCTCGGCCTCCATTGACCAGCGTCTGACATTCTGGCGCTTGGGACATGGTGAGCCCACCTTTATGAACAGCACTGTGTACCATGTGCCAGATGTGGCTGACATGGACTGCTGGCCTGTGAGCCCTGAGTTTGGCCACCGTTGTGCTCTTGGGGGCCAAGGGCTTGAGGTTTACAACTGGTATGACTGAGGTGTCCACGGTGGCCGGTGTGCTGGGTATGGGGCCTACTCACAGGCAGTGGAGCAGGGATCGACTGTCTGTGCCTGTACCCAGCATGCCTCAAGGAGAGGTGGTGGTGGCCATGGGTTCCTGACTCCATAGCAGGACTAGAGGTGAGTTGAGTGCTGCTTGGGTGGACAGAGAAGACACCCTGTTCCCTACTATAGGTGTAACAAGCAATTTATTTTGGTTCCAAGGTCCTAACATCTGTGGCTATTATTTTCTTTTCCCAGTTGATGATTTTGTAAACATTCCCAGATGTTGAGCTCTCTGTGGTGTTAGATGTGGCTCAGTGGTGGGAGACCCAGCATAGCCAGGCCAGCGTGGAGCACCTCACGAATGGCTCTTAGAAGTTGCAGGCGGGCAAACATCTGACCAAAGAGATGTGGCCGAGCCTCCTGAAGGAGAAGGGACCTACTGGTCTCATCCTCTGCTTCACTCTGTAGCCTTCTGCACCTCCCACACACACCCTTCTGCTGTGTGCTCACCCCTAGTACGTGTACCCGGTTGTAGTATGAACTGAAGTCCATGCTGAGCTGTACCAGGAACTTGCATACCTAGAGATAGAGATTGAGTCACTGGCTTGTGTCTTTGGCCCAGAATAAAGTAGAATGTGTTGTGTCTGTCCTAGTGTTCTAAGACTCACTGTTTCTGTACGAGCACTTATGTGGAGCCCTGGGCCAGTGCAGGCCAGACCTGCAGTCTGGCTTAGCAGGTCCGGGAAGGGAAGGACACTATTGAAGAGCAGCAGCCACTCCCCCTGCAGGGGACAGAGGTGCTGGGAGGGAAAGTCCAAGCCTCCTGCTTGTGCCAGCTACCCAAAAGGGGCACTCACCTCATCATGCAACAGTGAGAAGTCCAGACTTTTCACAGATGGAAAAGTGGGGTACAGACCTTGTTCCATATTGCGCTTGTAACCCTCAAAGAGTGTGGCAAGACGGGCACAGTTATACATGACAAAGATGCCACTTTTTGTGCCCTTTGTGGAGATGATGTCAGTGAGAAGGAGCTGGAGAATGAAGGCAGAGCTGCAGAAAGGGTAGATAACACACTCTGTCACCCCAACCTCAGTCCTTTGAAATGCCCGGGCTCACCTGACTCTGTGGGGCTGTGCTCAGCATCTCAAACTTGATGGTGGCCACAGTGAGAACCTCAGAGATCTCTGTCCATGCCGGGTCTGGGTGAGTACATATCATCAGTCTCTTTAGACAAAAAGCACAGAGGAGGGATACAAATGACCTGCTCCTACTCCAGGGAACAGCCAGGGTCTCCCAGGTGCACCTTGTGCCAGATGGCTACCATGCTTCAGTGCTGAGGCCTTGCACACCTGGGCATGCCGAAGCCTGCATTTGTGAAGAGAAGAGCCAATGGGTACAGCTCAGCACAGACCCCTGTCCCCTATCTCAACTACTGTGGCTGGGGTGGCCTTCCAGCCTCACTCACTCATAGTACTCAGGGGCAGTCATCAGAGTGCCGGCTGCACCAGCTCCTTTCACTGGGCCACAGATCAGATGTTTCTGTGGAAGACAGCAGGAGCAAAGCTCAGTTGGTGTTGTCCTGTATCCATAGTCTCTCAAGGAACCAAAATCTGCCTCTACTCCCGCCTGACCCACTCTCACCCTGTAACCACCAGGCTTGGTGCCTTGCAAGCCCAGCCCTTCGGAACACTATTCTTGAGTGTTCCTTAGACCTCCAAGACTTCTGTACCCACTAGATGTGCCAGCTCAGTAATTCAATCTCCCCTAATTTCTAGACCCATCAGCTAACAGGCTCTTGAGTTTTCAAGGACCCTCTGAGTTTGGGGAACTCCATCATCAATAACCTACCTGTCTGAGAGGAGCCTGATCATCCAGTTTCCACCAAAGCAGGTCCAACTTCTGTTGCTGGAACTCCTCTTCACAGCTCACCACGTGTATAACCATGCAGTTGTCAGAATCTGGGGCCTTATAAAGGAAGAGGACAGTCACTGCAGAGATTTAGGCTATATGGTTTGCTAAAGGCCTTCAGGACTGGGAGCCACTAACCAGGACTGGGTAGTTGCCCTCGGGCCAGTGTTGCACAGCTTCCTGCAGCTCAGCTAACACACACAGCAGCTCCTCAGTCACTGCAAAGAGAACAGATGCTAAGGCTTCCCAGGTGGGCAGAGGTACACCCCTCCTTTCTGCTCTGCTTGGCTCCAAGTCCCACCCAGACAGTTGTTCACGTTGGGGTCATAGCCAGCCCCATGGCCCTGTTCTTCCACCAGCTCCTTCAGGTCCAGTCTGCCCAGGACACCGGGGGGTAGTGTATCCTGGTCTTGGGCAGAGGTGAACTTTGCAAGCACGAGTCTTCTTAGGGTTTCTGCCGATACTCTTTCCGAGGCAGTGGGCCAGTCTACTCGCAGCTTCTTCAGGAAGGCTGGCATATGCGGGTCCGGCACTGCGGGAACTAAACGCACACACACCCTGTAAAGCGAGGCGGAGGCGTCAGCCTGTGCAGTGGCTCCGTATTGCCAACCCTCTGCGCCTGTTCACAAGGTCCCGCCCTTTTCCACCCTGGCCTCGGCCTGCGTATACCCTTGACCGTGCAGAGCTCGCGCCAGGTGATCAGCCACGAGTACGGCGCGCAGCTGGCTCAAGCGGAGAGCACCAGGTCTGCAGCGCAACGATGGGCAATGCAGGAGGATGCGCAGGCCAGGTGAAGCGCAGTTGGCCGGCGTAGCATAGGAGGCCACGGCGCCAAGGACGCGCTGGAAGACTGCAGGCCGCTGAAGCTGGAGCGACAAGCCCGCGGGTGTCGGCGCGCAGCACAGCACTGGGGCCACTCCGGGGCCTTGCAAGCCAACAAGGGCATGGAGCACACGCTCGGGCACCTGAGGGCAGACGGGCGGGTGAACGGGCGCCGATTCCCGCCAGGCCTGGGACACACATCCCGCCGGACTCACACCCACCTGCCCGTTCGCGAAGCGCGCTTGTAGTGCGCATCGCGGCGCCAGGAAGTCTCGCACTCGCAGGTGCCGGGCATGTGTCTCTTTGAACCACACCGGGTCTCCTGGCCCTAAAGCCGCATTTAGGGCCCCTAGTATCTCCCCTACCCCAAGACGCCCTGTCGCCATGACGACCGGAAGGCGCTAGCTAAACCGGAAGCAAATCATTGAAGGCGGAACTTCCTGCAGCACGGACCAGAGAAGACTGGGATCTGGTTGAGACCCGGGAGGAACGGGTGCGTCAGAGGAGAGGCGGTGCCAGCTTCCTGCCCTAGGCGCCCAGTAAGCAGTCTGCTTTGTTTCTGGACTCAAATCCAAAACCTCCGGGTCCGCTCTCTCATCGCCGCCGGGCATTAATAATCAGAAAAGGGCCGGGCGTGGTGGCGCACATCTGTAATCCCAGCACTCGGGAGGCTGAGACTGGAGGATCGCTGTCAGTTCGAGACCAGCCTGGGCTACATAGTGAGTTCCAGGTCAGTCTCAACTACATAGTGAGACCCTGCCCCCCCCCCCAAAAAAGAAAATCAGAAAAGGACCCTCGAGACCGGTGGGGGCTCAGACCAGACGCCTTATTGTTAAAGTCTCATCTCTGTACGATGATGTTTCATTGCACCGTCCCAAACGTAATTAAGCGTCAGAGCCAGGCATGGTGGCTAAAGTTTGTAACCTCAGCAGGCTGGGATGCTGATGCAAGAGGATCGCAAGTTCAAGCCCAGTCTGGGGTAATTTAGCAAGACTCTGTTCAAAATAAGGGTGGAAATGAGGCTCAGTGCGAAGGCCCTGAGTTCAATCCCTAGTACAGAGAGGGAAAAAAAATTGTCCTGTGTTGTCACTATAAAAGACAGTAATGTTAAAGACAGACACTCTTTTACTACCCCCCCTTTAATCTCATTTTTAGCTGGGCGTGATAGAACATGTCTGTAATTCCAGCACTGTGGGCAGCTGAGACAGGAGGATGGAAAGATCTAGCCCGGCTTGAGCAATTTTATCTTTTTTAATGTTGTTGTTTTGAGACAGTTCAGCCTAGCCTTGGAGTCACTATGTAGCCCACAGCCTGGGTAACTTAGTGAAATAAAGACTAAAAGGTTGCTAATGTAGCTCAGAAGACCCTGGATTCAATCCCCATACAACAAAACAAATTTTAAAATTTTTTATCTTGTGTTTGGCAGTCAGGTTCTTTCCTCGTTTGATATGGGTGTTATTTCTTTCTTTCTTTTTTTTTTTTTTTTTTTTTTTTGGTACCAGGGATTGAACTTGGATCCTTGCGCTTGGCCACCAAACCGCTGAGCTAAATACCCGGCCCATGGGTGTTATTTCTAATAAATATGCAGTTTGATAAAATTGCTCAACTTCCTTTCATGATACCTAATGAATTAGAACTTTAAGGTGGTTTCTAGAATTGCCAGCTTTTTAAAAAAAAAAAAAACAAGGCTTGGCTACATTATTCACGCTAGCCTTGAACTCTTAGAGATCCTCCTGCCTCAGCCCAAGGGCTGAAATTACAGACATGTGCCACCACACCTGGCTAACCATTAATGTTTCTACTTTACCCTGGTGTACAGTACTTTGCCAGCAAGCTATACTTTTTTTTTTGTACCAGGGATCAAACTCGGGACCTTACGCTTTTGAGGCAGATGGTGGCACCACTGAGCTAAATTCCTGGCCCAGCATTCAATCCTTTTAACACTTCTCGATTTAGGAAGCAAGCCTATTTGGGCCCATAAAACGAGGTGACCATGAGGAGACCCAGCCAAACAGATGTCAATAGGGAGAGCCTACGCTACCAGTGGGAAAGCCCTTTCCTCTGTCCCAAGCGTTTTCCTTTCCATAGAACGCGACTCCCACCCTCCTGCTAATGGATTGAACCTAAACCTTATCTGTATCTCTGAGAAGCGGGAGCCTGCAGCCCAGGGATGAGGGAAATCTAGGGACAGGAAGAGCTTAGTAAGGCCTCTTTTTGGGTCAAGGCTGTGGGCCTTACTGGAAGGTGCCGAAAGAGCACTGGGCGGACACGACATTCCCGATGGCTTCTCGGGTGCCCACTCAACGGGAGTGATCGTGTCATTCCAAAGCACTTTCTGCGCCAGAGGTGCACAGCCTGGACTCTTGGCAGCAGAGATGGGCCCCGCCGGACTTAAGCTGCTGGCGGCCCATGAGACGGTTGCGGGGTTTTTTCCCAGGAAGTGCATGGCTATCTTTAGCGAGGTGGGGCCGTCCAGCCCCACCCCGAGGACTGGTTCTTCCTAGCCAGCGCTCCTGGACAGATCAGGATGGATGTGGCCACCTCATGTGGCCACCTCTGGTCGGGGTGCATCTGGAGGCACAAGACCAGAGCGGCCCGGCAGTGTCTGGGCAGAGCGCTGCTCAGGCAGGAGAGCAGGGAACGAAATCCAAGCGCAGCTGGAATGCTCTCTAGACAACAGCTGCTTTTGGGATTCCGTTGCCCGCTGTCCCGCCGCTGGAGGGGCGAGTGCCCCAGCTCACCCGCCCTGGGGCCGGAGCGGAACCGCCCAGGGGGTGGACCTGGAGGAGGTGGTGTAACAGAGTCCGGTGAGAACCGTGCGCTCACCTGGGCCCCAAACAATAGGAGGGAAGGTGGGGGGCCTCCTCTGGGACCGAGTCCCAATCCGCATCAGATCCGCAAGGCAGTATTAGCCCTATTGCGGTCCCACGCAGCCGGTGCCCCTGGTGCGGTGACGGCGGCTGGGCGGGCTCGGGATCCGCCGGCAGGGAAGCCCCCGTGGGCTGTAGAGGAAGTCACCTGCGCAGACTTCGGGGACACCCGCGCCCAGGCCCTTTGTCCGGTGGCGCTGCCAGCGTCTGGAACGCCAGGGACCGCACGGGCCCACGCGGCGACGACAGGACCCTGGGAGCCCATGCGACTGGCCTCGGCCGGTCCCCAATGGGCCCCGCCTTCCGCCCGCGCCAACCGCGGGCAGTGAGCACGACAGTATCCCCGGGGGGGCACGGAGAGCTGGCGCGCGGAGATGCCCGAACCCCGGAGGGGGGCTCTCGAGCCAGTAGGCCCCGAACTCGGCTCAAGACAGGGCTGGGGGACTGGGGATGCGCGAGCAGAGTGGGCGAAGACAGGTTGACTCTCCGGTGCTGTCTAGTTCACGTCCGCTCCAGTCCGGCCCAATCTGTCGACGGCAAGCAGCGTTGCAGCCACTCTGAAGCTCTCCCTTCCGCTGGCTCCGGTGTCCGCAGAGTTGAAGCCATTTTAAGGCGAAACCACCTGGCCACGCCCTCTCTC